ATTTATCACTTTCACGGGTTTATTACGAATCAACTTAACGGCCTGCTCCCAGTTGGCTTGTTAGCTCAATTGGTAGAGCGCTGCACTAGTATCACAGAGGTCAGTGGTTCGAATCCCGTACAGGCCTGATTTTTTTCAGGTCTGATTTTCGCTATTGCTTAAATAGCGCTATCTACTGCGAGGATCGTGCATCATACGTACCTGACTTATTATTATTGCCTTGGTTTTTGTTAATAATGTATATAATTTTCAGGTTACCTTCTGTCTTTCTTAGTTCGTGTATGTCGTTGTCGCTCAATTTTCTACCCTGGTCCTGATCAGTAAATGGAACACACAGCGAGGCGTTGAAGCAGTTGTGGGGTGTGCTTTGAAGGTGATCATTATCGTTTGAGCTGATATAGAGGTCCATCTATAGTATGTATCTAATAAACCTTGCTTGTAGTGTTTACAGAGTAGTGTTAAAGGACTCGCAATAACATTTTAATATTTTTATAAAACATTTCCTATCTTCTCTGACTTATCTTTATTATTGCCATGGTTTTGGTTAATAATGTATATAGTTTTTAGGTTTACCTTCTGTCTTTGCTAGTTCGTGTATGTCGTTGTCGCTCAATTTTCTTCCTTGGTCCTCATCAGTAAATGGAACACACAGCGAGGCGTTGAGGCAGTTGTGGGGTGTGCTTTGAAGGTGATCGTTATCGTTTGTGCTGATACTCACAACTAAGGTCCATCCACCACCTGGCGAATAAGAAAATGATATGAAACTCATACTCAGCCAAGAAAACTGTGTCAAGTATAAAAAGAAGCAGCTTAAGGGGTGATAAAATTCCGGTAAAACCTCCGTGTTTACGAAATCTTAGGTATGTTGCACTACTGATATGGTTTATTGCAGCAAGAAAAAGTGAAAAAAGAAAAAGAATAAAAGACACTGAATTAAAGAAACGTACATATTTCCCTGAGCGGTTTTCTAGAGGCCTCGACAAAATCTAACAGGCCCATTTTCCCAGCTAACGCCTATACATTCTAAGCATAGACTAATTCACTCGTAGTTCATTATCCAATTAAATATTGAATATTAAAGACTGAATTATTTCGAAGAGGTAATGAAGAACGGGAAGTTGTCCGTCTACTAGTAAAAGTGACAATTTAACTTCATCAAATTTC